AACTCAGGTGAACGGTGTAGGAATTACAACAGTTTGCATACGTGCCTCCCACTTGTTAAGGGACCAAAAGTAATTTACAAAAATGTAAAATCCAATTTACAAAAATACATTCAGTGTTCTTGGCAGTCCACAAGATGATGCTGGTCCAGATTAATGTGGTAGGGGAGGATTTCAGTTCATAGATTAATGAAAAGCAAAATAAATCTTGTCCACAGCCAGATAATATGCAGAACTATTTTAGGTATAAACTACTTTTAGGATTTTTTTACTTTGAGGGAGAATTTCTGCAAAGGGTTAAGTGTTCCAAGAAATATACTTATTCTCTCTTGTTTGTATATGATGCTATTTTAGTTACATTGTGAAAATGTTTTGTGGGGCTGTCCTAGGAGAAATACTAAAAGATATTAGGCTTGTAGTCTGAAAACACAGAAAATGTGAAACAATCTTCTGAATTTGAAATGTACTTATCAGTTGACTTATTGGATAATTTAAAATCAGTGGCCTCTGCACAAGTACTGATAGAGATAAAAAGATATTCTTTGGCCATGAAACAGCAGAAGACAGGAAAAACAGTAAGAATCCCATAGGAATCTTTGGGAAGGTTAGTATTGCCAGTTAATTTTACCAGTGACATTCTGGATCCAGTCCAGCAGCTAGATACTCTTAAAATGTGATCTCCCCACATCACAGCAATCACTCATTTGTTTCAGTCCACTTATTCTTTTGGGAAAGACTCTCAAGAGTCTGAGAAATATGTTTAAATCTACAGACCATCCATTTGCATTTTATTTGTTTGGCAGTGCTTTGCCCAATGTGCTTTGAATGTATTTTAACAATTTGTAATTATCTGAACCAAGGTCTGACTAGCATTTTGCCCACAGCAACCTAAGAGTGGTCAAGAAAAAGTGAAAATTATCACATTCTATACAATTGCCAGAATAATATGTCTAACTACTCTGTGCACAGGATTACAAAGAGCACAATGCCAATTTCAACATAATATTCTATGACTGAATTGTAGACAGCCAAAGATTTTTAAGATCATTATAGTTATAAACTAGCTTATGATCAGATGTGAATACTGATTGCTGCTAGTATGTGTGAATCTAGATATACATTGTATACTGACTTTGAGCATAATATCTTAAAATAAACAAAAAACATGGTAATAAAATATGCTTGTTTATGTTATATTTATAGTGAATACAAAAGATACATTTACACAGAACACACTAATAAGAAAATAATTTTGTTTACTCCTGCAGCAGGTTCTCAGATTTGTTCAACGTTATTTAAAAGTATCTTGAATGTAATTGTCAGTGGCCACCCACAGCACTCCATAGATAACAGCTCCATATTGAATATTAACTGGAAAAAAATGATCCTGGATGCTGAGTCTAAAGCAATCATGGATCATTCCTGCTGTGACAAATTTTGTTTATACAAAATTAAGTGAACAAGTGATAGCTGTTCTCAGTCTTCCATTGCAACAGGGTGCCTATCACTCACTCTAATGCAACTATCCCCCGCAGGAGTTTCTCTGGGTAACGCATCTTAGAAAACTCAATGTTGAATACAGCAAATGTCAGGATGTGCCACTACGCCATCCTACATCTGCAAACAGCATCAAGTCAAGCACTTCACTCTATCCTCTTCCTCTCCTGTAAAGACTCCTTATATGCTGTTCCAGAATGCACCAATATATAAATACAGAATTGTGAGAAATGTGTATGTATGTGTGTGTGTATATAAACACATACATACATATACATATACATATATAAATGTATGTCTGCTTAGCCAAGTAACTGTCCTTTCTCCACAGCCATTGGAAATTTTGCAAAATAGAAACTAAAGCATTAGCGGGTTTGCTTTTTATCTTATAATATAATATATTTAATTCTACATTTAATTGTTCTATAAGTGTATTATACTTTTAGTTAATAAATACTGCAAAATAAAATCAGAATGAAGAGCAGAGCCATGACATTATATCAGAATTCATCTGCAAATCAAATACATTCAAAATATGCTTTCTGTATAAGGAACCACTCACTGTTCTGTTCATACTCAGTATACTTTGTTCTTGTTCCT